ATAATAGAANTCTTGTTACCAGCTTTTACTAAGAAATGCTTCTTGATTTTTGTGAGAAGGACTTTATCCAAATACCGACTGGTCTATTCTACTGAACTTTTCCGTCTGGTCACCAACAAAACAAAAAATAAACTGAAGGTAGAACCTAAATCGCACTCAGCCCTTGGCCCCATGGTTAATGAGCACTTCTGTGGTTGACCAGCTTCTTCTCCTGTGTGCGAGTTGTAGAGACCCTTCCCTGCATGCATTGCAATCACACTCAGTGGATATGTCATGGCTGGATAAACAGCAACAAAAAGAAGAGGAACTGGATTTTTTTAGTTTATTGATACTGGCAGTGTGGCAACAGGTTGTGATTGATTTAAACAGAGATTTTATTTGAAATTAGCATGATTTGTAGTGTTTCTAACTTCTGGGATCAGGGGACAGCACCCTAACCTCAAGGGGTTTGTGAAATCAACATTTCACTCTTCCTTAAGTGAAATCAGCAGCTCTGTGATTATGCATTCTCATGAAATCAAAATCTTACTGTTTCTTCAGTGCAAAAAGCATCTTTGAATTGCATGCTGACATGAAATCAACATATTTTTTTTATTATAGAAAACAATGTTACGTTTGCTTTCAGAACAATACTTACTCTACTTACAATATGACACAATACTTACAATACAATACAAGATTTTACTCTACTTACAGAATGGTACAATACTTTCTTTACTTACAATAGGATACAATACTCTCTACTTACATTATGGTACAATATTTACTCTACTTACAATACGACATGGTTCTTATTCTACTAATAATAAGATACAGTACTAACTCTATTTCAGATGAAACAATACTTACTCTACTTGCATTTCATTACATTATGGTGCAAAACAATGTTCTACATTGTCTTACATGACATGACATTACATTACAGTGCAATAATTATGATACATTAAATCAAATCAATCTTTATTTGTACTCATTCTTGCTTAAGAAAAAAAAATTACAATTTCAATGAAAATGTTAAAAGTAAAAATTTGAGTGCTAGCTGCCTGGAATAACCATAGGGGCTAGCAGAGCCAGGCAGCCAGTTAACATCAGCATTAAATAGAAATAAAATACAGGTCAGCAAGAAAACTTGAACACAAATGCACACACAAGAAGAAAAAAAAGAAGAGGAAAAACACTATTTCTATGCTATGAAGGAAGTCTAAAATAGTTTAAGTTATAGATGAATACAAAACATTAATATAAGAAGAGCACACAATAGCTATGGCAACTAATAACAGCTATATATTAAACTATAAAAGAAAGACTTGGAAAGGTGACAGAAATCAACAAAATACTGATTTACTGGTAAATTGGAAAACAACACAACTGCTAATAAGAACCTAAGAAACTAATAATCTTTGACTAGATCGTTTTTTACTGATTTCTTGAAGTTTGAAATAGACAAAGTTTTCAAATTTTCATTAATTGAGTTCCATACTTTGGGGCCCTTAAATCTTATGTTGAATATTCCATAATTTGTTCTTACTTTAGGTAAAGTATAGAACATATTCGAAGCACTTCTTGTATTATAGTAATGTCTTTTATTGACTTGAGTGAAGAAAGTATCAAACACAGATGGTAGACGTCTATTGTGAAATTTATACACAAAGACTGCAATATTAAGAAAGACAAGGTCAGGCAGTTTAACAACATTTAAGTGTTTGAAAATTGGACTAATTGAATAGCATGACGTGATATTACAGTCCACTACAATTGCGTTTCAAAAATGTAAATTGGAATGCCCTCCTGCCTAATTATAAAATATTTGCTTATGGCAATAGAGCAGCCACACGGCCTTGTGAATAGCATATTGGTGGTATTAAAATTGACAAGAGGCACAGGAGACAAATTAACAGGTATCGAACAAGTTTTGAAAAGTTATAAAGAGACTTCTGTTGAGTTCTGAAGATCCAAATGTAATATCTAGCAAGTAAGCAGAGATGATGAGTTTTCTTGCTAAGGAAAAATGGCTTAAAGCCTGATACTATTGCTGGACTGAAAATACTGGTTACGTTTTCATGTTTTGTTGTTATCCACTGTTTAAATTATTGCCAAAAATGTGACGTTACACCGCAGGATCAAAATAAATGAATCGGACTTTCTTCCTCAGTTTTACAGAAGGTGCACAAGTCACTTTGTTTTATTCCCACTTTCTTGAGAAAGGAATTTGTAGCAAGTCTTCAATGTAAAAGTGTAAGTTGAAACATGATTAGTTTAGTAATTTGCGTACATTTAAACAGGAGTAGGTAAACCGACTTCCAGTGAATTGTTTCGTGACTTTCAAATTCACAGTCAGCCAACCATTTTTCCTGACTTGCAAAAGGGGATTTTTGCTTTATGGTAACCAGCCTTTCATAAACAACCTTGGTATGCTTTTTGGACTTTTTGGCTTGTAAGAAACTTTGAAGAAAGCTTTGAGAGGATGTGTTACTAAGTGACCGGCTTTCTCTCAAAGATTTTAAAGAAGATTTTAGACTATGAAGAACTAGAAAGTTTGCTTTAACATTGTAGCATTCCGTAAGTTCATGAGAAGATAGAAAGGTATTCCGGTCTTTAAATAGGTCTGTAACGTTCTGGATACCTTTACAGTTCCACAATTTATAATATATGGGTCTGTTGTCAATTCATTTCAGAGAGTTATGCCATAGAGGTAATGAAAGAAAATGATCGGTAGAGTTCACATTCGCCTCGTAGCTTATCTCTGACCAAATTTGTAAGATTTCCGTCATAAAAGCATCTGTTGTGTTGATAAATTTATTTAAGTCATGTTTGTTAAGGTTTCCTTTGGAAACGGCTGGGCCACCATAGTGTTGTAGTTGCCAGTCAAAAAAGTACTTCCAAATTGCCTTGGTAGGTCTTGGAATTCACCCTCGGAATGGCCAAAGGGAGAACTTCACTCATAAACCGCCATGTTTCCATACAAATAGTTTTGGTGTTCCAATCACCATCAAATTATCTCTCACCTCTGGTTTCTTTCAGAAGTTTGCCTCTTCCCACCATTCTAGCTTCATGATGCCAGCCTGGGGGCTTCTGCAGTGGAAAATGGCTCGAAAAACACTTTTGAACCAAAAACTTACCATGCTTGCTTATCGAGCAAGCAACAGCCAAATACTGACATTACAATGAAAATTTGAGCAGCAGCTTTATTAAACAGCACATACACTATTTTCAGTTGAACTTCTTATATGCAATCACAAAATTCTAGAGATTGGCTATGCTAAGAATAAACCTTAAGGTAATTCCGCAGTATTGCATTGTGCATCCCTACTGGGTATGATTTTTGTGTCATTGGGATGTGCACATGAGCGCATGCATGTACCCAAAGTAAGAGATTTCCCTCAAGCTAAGCTCGACAGCAAAATAAATGCTCGTTTTCTCTTAAACAAGCATGGTGACCCATATTTTTTAATCCATAATTTTGGTGTACAAATTATCCTCTTTGAGTTAAAAAGTTAAGAAGAAAATTGCTCAGAAAGAAAAAAGGATATAGCTAAAAGAGTTCACAAAACTGTAATGCGAGGATGTGAATTATGACCTCGAAAACAATGATTTGAGGAACATTGTGAGTCAATGTCATTTAAAATTGTGTGATTTTGCCATAAATTATATTTTACATTGTTCCAAATGCCGAGACCTTCTATGTATCAAGATTTTTTCAAGTATTGCCTTTAATAACCTCTGCTTCCCTCTATGGCAAAATGTATAGTGAACTGATGAAATGCATGGTTAGGCATGAATGGGGTAAGATTGGCTCATCGTGTCTTTTCAGCGAGAATGGTGACCTATCCTTTTTATTGTATTTTTCAAAACAGTGGTTGGTAAGGCACATTCAGGGAAGTTTCAAAAAATTGTTTGGCAACTTTTAGTACTGAGGAATCACCTTAAAAAACTCATAAAAATTTACCAGTTAGAGGATTAAGAAAAAAAAAATCTTTGCAGTGGCATGCTGATGTGACAGCAAATAAATTTCTAAAGATCTGGCCAGGAAAAACCAAGCTTTTTGCATATGTTGAGAAATAAAAATCATGTTGAAGCAAACACTCGCTATAGTACAACCAATCGGTTTGTTTGGGTTCATCTGTACAGTAGACCTGATTTCAATGTGAAATTGGACCAACTAAGCACTTTAATTGATTACATGATACTAGCATAACTTGAATACCAGTAAGATTTAACCCAAGATCTCTCCCGTGGCTCAATGTTTTGGCATGATCGCACCTCCCTCCCTTCCACCAAGAATTTTCTTACCAGAATGACTGATTCCAGGGCTCATAGTAGCTTTCTAGTTGTACGTAGACAAGATTGTTTGCTTCCATACAAAAACCCACACAAGTATTATGTCATGCATGCAACCCCACACAAGTATGCACTGTAGACTTCTTTCTTGTCAGAGAACATGTTGATTATCTCATAATTCGCTATCTTTCCTAATCTTATTACATTTCATATACTCTTAATGCCTAGTCTCTTAATAGCATAGTTGAAGAATTTTTCACACTTTCTTTACAACTGTTCAAGTTGATCTGAATTGCTAAGATTTATTTTCTTTTATTTGTGTCTTTTGTTAAAACCACTTGTTATCTACCTCTTTTCCCCTATGCTTGTTTTTTGTTTTTTTGCTTATTAAGTACACTGTTTCACAAGTGGTACTGCCCTGAACAAGCAAACAAGATCCTCGTGCATGTTAGGATGAGGAAGTAGTCTGTTGAATTTATTGCTGTTACAACAAGCTCTCTTTTGAAAACCATAGCCGGTGAGAGAATTTATTCTGCCCATGATAACATAATTATTGTGCTTTTTGCAGTTCCTAATGCGAGTGAAAGAGGGGATCAGGATATCTAGCAAGACTATCAAACAAAAGGGAAAGGTTAACGAGAAGCAGTTTTACCAACGGCAACTTGCTTTATACAAGGTATTGACTTTCCTAAAATTTTGAGGATTTAATGTCCTATATAATTAACACATTTTTTTATAATATAAATTATGAAACTCTGAGATTAATGAATGTACTTATATGATTGACAATGTTATATTTTTATATCTTTTATTGTAAATAATCAGTTTAATTTTATGTACTTACATTCAACTGTCGGCTGTTTTACACTGTATGAACATCACATTGCTGTAGCAATGGAAACAGTAGCAATGGAAATGTTGAATAAGTTGGCAATATGCTGCAGTGGGAGACCCAAACACAATCTTGCAAGGTTCAAAAAGAGTTCGTCCTCCTTTGACAGAGCTCTGTTAGTGTTCCCTGAGCTGACATTAGCCATTTGTGTGCTGTCCTCATCTCCATCAGGCAGGTTCCCATGAAGATTTTGGCTCCAGTAATTCATGTTTTCAGCGTGACACAAAACAAAAGTCAAATTTTCTATAGCTGGATGCAGTTTCAAAGCCAGAGTAAAAGTGAATGTCATCGCCACTACCTTTAAATCATTTAAAAGAAAACGTCCTACTATCGATCCTTGATTTTACTGATATAAAATTGGATTTCAAAACCTTTATTTCATCATCCTTTTCTCAAAGTAAAGCCGTCCAATGCTCAATCTCACGATCCTTCTCCTGGCAATAACTGCATAGTGTTTTCTCTTCGCCTTTCCCAATTCCGCGTGAACTTGTCTTTGACAAGCGCTGATTGACTGGTGTTTTCCANATTTTGCTGTGAAGCCTTTTTTATTCCCAGAAATGTAATGTCCTTTGTTTGACCAACGATGCTTCACATAAAGAAACTTATGGGAATGCATAACAAAGAAACATATACGCGCATATGTGCGCGTATTGACATGCGCGTATACACAAAATATGCTCGTATAATAGGGTAACCCGAAAACACTGACCCCCGGTGCGCGGACCCCCACTACAGACCGGGTCCATGGACTACCCCTACGGACCCCCTCTACGGACCACCCCCCAAAAATATAATAAAAATTAGAAATAAATACTTCACTCATGGGTTGTCTAATAGATTACTTGTCTCGGCGAATTTTCGAGTATTACATTGTACAAATGTAATTGACACCCTTCTTCCCCCGTCCCCCCGAAAAAAAAAAGCCTATAAGCTTTGCTCAGCGTAAGGAGATGCCGATGGCAAAAAGGAGGAAAATTGTTACATTGCATTCGTGGCTCAATCTGACTATGGAAGATGAGTTTTTCGGTAGTTCAAGCTTGTTTGTATCTTGTTTGTATCCACGAATTCACATGAGAATGGGCTGAACAAAATGGTGGAGGGGAAAGAGTACAAATTCCGAGGCTTCCTGGAGACTTTCACTGTCTTTCATATACAGTATGGCCACAGCAAAGGAAATTGCAATGTATAATGATACAACTTGCACCCGAGCTTGAACCCCACGAACATTGAATTTGCAAAATGTAAAGTTTGAAATTTCGCCGACACGATCTCTTAGACAACCCATAACTGAAATATTTCTTTTTTTCTTTCATTCTAATTTGGGGGGTGGTCCGTAGAGGGGTCCGTAGGGGTAGTCTGTGGACCAGTCCATAGGTGGTCTGTGGACCCAGTCCGTAGTGGGGGTCCGCGGATGGGGATCAGTGTTTTCGGGTTACCCTGTATAACATGCGTATGCACAGTTGGCATATATCTGAGCTGCACTGTAATTTTGACTATTTTGCTGACCACATGCCAAGTCGGTGAGCCTTCAATTGAAAAGTTGAACGTTTGAAAAGTTTGGCTAACCATTCAAATGCTTGAGGTCATCCATTTGAACACATGAGCTAACCGTTTAAATGCTTCAAGTCATCCATTCCAAAATTTTTGTCAGCCGTCTTAACGCTAGCAGCTATCCGTTCGAAAATTTTTGCCAGCCGTCTTAACGCTTCCAGTCATTCGTTCGCAAATTAAATTTTCACTAACCGTTCGAATGCTTTGCCAAGCCGTTTGCCAAGATTCAGTAACCATTAAGACATTTGTAGGAAACATTTTAACGGAAACATTTCTAGGAAACGTTTTAACGCTTTTATAGGCGTTTACTATCCGTTTATTATCCGTTTATCATCCGTTTATTTTAGCCCGTTTAACTGAGAGGGGCTAATGTACATTTCCTGTGTAACGTCACAATTTTGATGCAAGGAGCATAATTTAGAGAAACAAGCATAATTTGGGCATAATTTTAAAAGATTTTTGAGCAGTGCTAGGAGCATAATATGCTAGTTTTACAAGCACAATCGACAAAAACCTATCTGCAGTGATAACTTTCGTATTGGAACTACAATAGCTGCAAACAGTGGTAAGAAAAGAACATGCCCTGCTCTCCATGTCACTTCTAAGATGGACTTTTCAATTACGCCAAAAAGAGATCCCTTGATCAAGGGTTGCTGATTTCACCTCTCTTTTTCCATGCTAGGGGTGTCATGCATTGTAATGACAGCGCGTGACCAATTCACTAGAATAGAAACTCTGGAAAAAGGCATTCTTTTCATGTTCAGGAAATGGGTACCGGTCTAAGAGGAGAATATTCAGCACATAATTATGATGAGCTGTTTCCTTTCTTAGCAAGATAGCTATTAGACACCAAGGCGAACGTGGAGCAAGGACGATCCAGTCTTTCCCCCACCCCCCTTTAATGGTGCTATTTTTTCGTTCCTTCTGAGACATGTTCCTTCTAAAAACATCAGAAATTTAAGTGATTATTGTATAGAGGCCAAACTATCCTACCACTTCTGTTTGCTCTGTGTTGGACAATTTACCAAACAAGTTTTTATGTCATATGTAAAATTTTGTGGCATTTTCCTTGAAATTAAAGCTAGTTTGATCTCATAATTCAATTTGAATGTTAATACAGGTGTAATGGTGCACTGGTTTTCAGAGCTGAAAGTATATTTGGGCTGTGGATTTCTTGCCTTATGCCTTTTTTCAACCTGGATTCAAAGTTTTGTCATCGGCTAGTTTTATGTTACTTTTAATGCATTATTGTTAACTTCTGAGTAACGACCCTCGTTACTTTCGACGGAATTAGCAGCCTTTGGGGCTCATTTCTTTGGCGGGTCATTTAACTTTTGAGGAGCAAAAAAAGTTGTATGAAGTTGCCACAACTGAGCTCTGTTTTACAAAATAAAAGACAAATTTGTAAAAACAGTTCTTAAACATGAGATTAAATTCTTCATTGCAGTTTGAAGCTATGTTTCTACCACATAGGCGAGTCTTTCATGCCTAGATTGTGTTGTCAGTGGTCAGCAGGAAAGCTAGTCAGATACTGTAAACTGTTTGTACTTCATGACGTACTGCTATGTTAGCCTGTTTCAACAATATTTGACTGCATTGGGGGGGAGGTTTCAATGTAATTAAGTTTGAAGAAACATCCCTTTTAATGCACACCTGTTGAAATGATACAGAATTGTCAATTTTAAAGTAAAGAAAAGTTCTCGCTTGTATGTTCCTGTTACTTGATGAAAATTCTATGGTTTTTGTATTAGCATAGCACAACATACACTGACGAACTACGAAAGACATTTCACAATGTTCTGTGACATAAACAATTCTTTCTCTTGTTGTAGCATGCCTGTGATCATATGGTAACTTTCACCTGGCTATTGATTAGGAAAATAAATATACCACTAAACCCTGGTCTCACTATTTTCGGTGGAGGTTGGGGGGGGGGCAGTATAGGTTGGTTTCACCACTTTAGGAGTGCTTGCTACTTAAGGGATTTATTAGCGGCCAAAATTTTTTGATGTTACTTTCAGGGGATTGCTAGAGGCAGTCCGCATTGTAGCTCGGTGATGGCAAATGGCCATGAGTTGTGGTAGCTCAGCAAATAGCCATGGTGACCCACAGATCTGTGGTGAGAAAAAATTTTCCAATATGTAGCTCAGCAGATTCATTGTGCCATAATTGGTTGTCAGAAAATGAACTTTCTGTGTTGTGTAACTCACCAAAAGGCCATGTTTTGCAGTCAGAATGGCTAATTAACCTCTTTCATTTGTGAAAACAAGAAGTAAATTCGAGCAATGTAAACAAATACAAACACAAAATTTAAAAACATTTTGCGACATGCTGTCTTGTAGAGTCACTGGTCAAAACTTTCTTTTCTCAAGAAATATTTGCTGCAAGTGTTGGCAATATTTTGTCCAGTGCAAGTTAATACTTAATTAATTAACAACACTTTTACTGCAGGCTTCAGCATAATCTGCAGATCGTTATGTCATTCGATCAAACGAATGCCACAAAGTAGACCAAACATGCAAAGTATGTGCATGAATGCACTGCTCTAATCTTTGATTACTACTAGTTTTATATAATACACTCCTTTATCACTACATCCATCGCAGCATCAGATTAACAGAATTAAAAAACTTAATAATCAATATTTGTTATTGGAAGCAGATTTTTTGAAGCAGCAGTTTAAACCGCTTTTTGCTCACGTGTGAGTGTTTCGTTACTCTGACAATACGAAAATTATTTGGAATTTCAGAGAAAATGCTCAGATTTTGGTGGCATTTTTTAAAGCACCTGCTGAAAAAAACAAGCAAATTTTTATATCTCGTGGAAGAAGAGTATTTCAACACTTTATAGTCATAAAATGAGCTTGATTCGAGCTCAGCCACATAAAGAAAAGCCTTTTTGCAATTATAGACTAAATCATTGTCATCATTGACTATGAACTCTCATTGCTGGAGAGGTTCACAGGTTTGATAAGCCCAATGAGAGTTAATAATAAAAACTGGAGATGTAATCTGAATGTCACATTTACAAAGTGGCAAACGTTCCCATATGAAGAGCTTTTCTGCATTCTGCCCGCGTGTAAATCAGAGCGAGAGCAAAAAATTGACAAAGCAGGAGGTAGTTGGGCGAGAGAGGGAACGCTTGCCCGCAAACTCCTTGATTTTGAGAAGTGCCCACCGTTTTTCATGGTTGAGTTCATTTAATGATTGACAACTTGTCACCGAGTGTGAAAT